CATTAAAAAGACAGAAAAAAAAAAAAGAAAAGAAAAAAAAGAGGAGACAATTGAAAGATAGGAGAGAAAAGCAAGAGAAATTCTCAGGCAGGGTCTAGGCCTGTCTGGGGGTGGTCACATGGTTGTCTGACAGACTCCTAATTCTTTCTACCAAAAAAAAAAAAAAGCAAGAGAAAGCAAAATAATACACTTGGATTTGTCTCTGAACAGTAAACACCTAACAAGTTCGGGCAGTCAAATCAAGTTTGCTAACAACTACCGCGCAGATATTTGACCTTTTTCTATTCTTCATTCCACCACTTATCCATTGCAGACAAATGAAGCCAAACTAGTTGCTCTGGGGTTCATGACCCTAGTTCCATATTAACCATACTGAACTGTTTTTCATGTGATACATAGAGAATAATTTTTCTTTAGTTCCAATTTGATATTAAATATACAATTTAAGTATTAAAATTATTAAAATAAATTTGATAAGTTAATATAAAAAAGGATCTCATTAAAGATGTTTTAATAAATTTACAGTCCAATTATATTTTTTTTATTTTTTTCCCTCAAAAATTCCCTCATTAAGGAAACAATTACAGTTAAATCATTAAACATTAACACAAAATTTCATATATTTTTTTAAAGTTACATGATAGAAGGTATATTTGATTTTTTTTCTTATTTTGAGTCCCAAATTATTTGAAATTTATAATATAAATTTGATATTTTTAATATAAAATTTGGTATTCAAACTCACACTACAAATGATCAACCTTATAGTTGCAAGGTTTATTGTCAACACAAGGTTAGTAGTGACTAATTTTAGAATTGATTGAGAGTGTACCAAAACTATAATATGTACATAAATCATCATGTAATTTAAATTATACAATATTTGTTATTAAATGAAATATAAATTTTTTAATATTATAAGTTGCCTTTTCATTTAATTATTTTTATTTTTTAATATAACATAATTTAAATTGCAACCATATCGAACGACTCGTTCTAATTTAGTGGCATTGAACTCTAAAATAAGACTGTTTATTTCTTATGAATTGTACATTTGAATCTCACAAAATTTTTTTTTTATTTCTTCCAATTAACTTATAAATAATTATAATATATTTACAAAAAAAAAAACAACCATCACAAAATATATGAAATTAAGCTAAATCATGTTACTTGACCCTGTACTTGTCTTGCTTTCACCATCACAAAACACGTAAAATCAAGCAGAATCATGTTACTTTGATCCCGTACTTTCGCTTGCTTTCATCAAAGCTTCCCTGAATTCATCCACTACTCTTGACACAATCCCATAGGTTATGGCACCAATTATGAAAAGTAGAGTTGCAATCGCCAGCAATGAAGAATACATGATTACCTCAAATATTTAATAATGATTATTTAATTAATTAATGGAAACAATTCAATCGTGCCTTGACATAATAGATTAAAGAGAGATTGCGAGACGCTTCCATTCCTTTCCAAGATTGGGTCAGATTATGCGTGTCCTTTCTCTCAATTACTTCACCGCCTTGTCGGGAGCTCTGATATTGACATCTCTGTTTTCAAAGTGTACACAGATTAAAAAG